TCAAGATTTATTAGTGCTGCTGAAAATGTTTTGTTTTTTTAACCAACATTTTGAGTATTGTTAGGTGCAATACACATCCCTTAAAAAAAACTAAAAAGCCCTAAATTGTATACCAAGCCTGTAGGTTTAGACCACCGATTGTATACACACTACCACTGAAAAGTTTTAGAACACCACTTTTTCCAGTTTTTTATTGTTTACTGTTTACAGTTGAGCAAAACATATTCTAAACTTTTGATTCATGAAAGTGTCCACCTTTGGCAGATATAACAGCTGAACACACTGGTAGCATTCTTTTTACAAAAGAAATCAAATATTCTTCAAGTTCTTCCCAAGTCTGTTGCAGAACTTCCCATAAATGTGTGGCACTTAAAGGTTGCTTGGGTTTCACTCTTCTGTCCAGTTCACCCAAAAAACAGCTTGAGACTGTGCTTGCCACTCCATGTTTTCAAGTTTACCATCTTGTTCTTTTTTCCTGAGGTAGTTTTGGCAGAGCTTGGTTGTGTGTTTTGTTATCTTTTATCTTTTTTGTTAACCTCTTTAACCTTTGTACTATTTCAAGCTATTCACTGGGTGACTTGAATTGCTAAAAAAAATAGAGTTAGAAAAATTAGGGTGTTCTAAAACTTTAGACAGGTAGAGTATATAAATGGACATGGCTAACCCACGATAGCTGCCAGTTTTCAAATAGGATGTGAACAAGGGTGTGCTCTTGGCTCCAACAACTCTGGTTCCAATCCATTTTGCATTGAGATACTGCGTTTTTATTTAGCCATTTTGTCCATGAATAAATTCCTATTCATAATATGGGACCCAATTCCAAATTCAGCCCTATAACTGCTTCATTTGACTGGAGCCAAACACTGTGGGTGACGTCACACTTACTTAGTCGACTTCTTTATATAGTTTATGGTTTAGACAGAGAAGACTCTTGGAGGAGGCGGATCATCACACCTGTCATTCTTAACATTTAGAATCAGAACGATAATGTTGCCTTTGCTGATTATAGGCTACAAAAAACAACTGCAATCTATGAATAAAAGTAAAACACATTTCCCACAAAAATGTGATCTACAAAGTATATACTAACACATTTATCCCAGCTACACTGTATTCCACCCTGGCTTGTGTTCTCTGTTGTTGTATGCATAAATAAGAGCTGCGCATCAGGCCTGTGCTGCCATGTCAGGAGGATCAGGGACGCTCCGTGGCAGAGGCGGCGGTGGTGGCGGAGGTCGACCCACGAGCCGCACCCCGTCGCCCCCGGCTACCGTCACATCGCCAGCCGCCGGAACAGACAGGCCCCACGCACAACAGATGGAGCTAATGATGCGAAACAAAAGAGATCATTTCACCGGGGTCCAGGAGGAAGCCATAGTGAGAGGCCTGTGGAAGTTTGAACGATCAGAGCAGGGAGCTAGAGCACGGTTTGGCTGTTTGGATGTGATGGGGAGGAGAAAACAGTATCATTTATGTAAAACGTGTTAAGGTTAAAACTAAATATTACTGAAATTTTGAAATGAGAAGATGATAGGACTGCATGTGAGAAGACGCTTGGAGGGGACTTGAGATGAAGCAGTTACTGAGCAGTGGAGCAGCTTTGTGTGCAGTTTTCTGAATGTTGAAGTTAATTAGATTTGTGTCTAAATCTGCTATGTTGCTCAACACTGTTTTATTATTATTAATTATTTTGTTATGTTTTTGTTATATTTCAGTTTGGTTTTATGTAAAAAATGAAAGGGGGAGGTATAGAAATTCAACACCTAACCCAAAAAGAGGTCATGATCGACACTTCAGACAACTGTTCAAACATATAGTGGGTGTTAATCTATACTGACAGCTGCAGAACTTTGAGATATCTACATTGTTAACCTGACGTCAGCGTTAACCTTGCTAAACCATTATTTGCAAACAGATCAGGAAAGTCAGAAGATGCTTAAGACATATACCTATACATTTATCAATAAGTGTCCTAAAACATATGATTCGCATTATGTTAATACAATCGATTATTACTGCAAATTACTGCATCCTGAACCAAGAAAAACAAATCAAATTTGAGCTGAGGTCATTTGCATTTCCTGTGGGGGGGAATTACATTTAGAGGTCATCTGTGAGCTCTGTGTGCCCATGTCAGAGCCCAGTCAGTCAGGCGGGCAAACAGACAGAGGCAGAGGCAGCTATCTGTGCTCAGGGTCTGAGGAGGCACACACCTGGGGAGAGGATTTAACCAGGATGCAGCACAGGAGCCCAAGCTGTACCCATCCACCAACGGGATCATAGGGAAAAGTTCACCTCCCTGACACAAACAGTGGTATTAGAGTCAGGTTAGCTAAGATAACACTATCAGGCCCCTCCCCCGGGCGCACAATGCACAGTCTTGCTGCAAATAAAGCTACAGTGCCTTGACTCTTTGGCACATTAGCTGTGATTACAATGACCTTCATTATATCAGCTCTCCTTATTACAACACGTAGCAGGCGCCGCTCCCCGAGGCAAAGCTCAGTGGGGAAAGTGTGATGGAAAGCGGTGAGATTCTCTGGGAAGGCTCCAGTGAAGGAATCCAAACACGCATGTCATGTACAAGAGGCACCTAAGAAAGTGCTCATTGTGATGCTGACAACTCACTTCGCTGGGAGATGATAAGGAACTGCTGGAATCAGATGACTTTGACAACTACTATTAAAAGTAAGCAGCAACCTGAACATCTCAGTGTTTCAACCAGCTGCAAAGCATTATCGAAATATCATATACGGTTCAGATTTGATTTTGTAATTATAAGCCTATGGAAGTGATTTGGTCACAGACATACGGATACACTTTTACAACACTGTAAAAGTTTGGTTTCAAGGAAATTGCGCCTGTCCTAAGTCCACAAGATAAATGAGGTGATGTGTTACAAAGAGCATCTGATTTCAAATCTATGGCCAAAGAAACACATCTCACTGTTCACTATGCAAATCATTTTTATGTCAACCAAAAGTGACCATGCAGAGGTACGGGATGATAGATTGGCAATGGTTTTAGAGATTGTTTAGTGACATAATTGCAAAGTACATGCTTAGATATGGTAAAAAACAAACACCATTTACAAAACTCTCTGTCTCTGGATAAGGACTGCAACAGCCATAGTGTAAATTTCAATGGCTGGCAAGAAAAAAGTTAAATGTAACTTTTCTGTGGCTAGATCCAAAATCTTTTTTTCTGCTACCATAACCATTATTTCAACTGCTGGAATTCACTTTCCCACATTGACTCTGCACTTGTCTAAACCATGTTTAATATGTAACAATGTTGTTAACCTCAATTTCCTGCCCACTGGCCCTCCACAGGCCACATTGTTAGCTGTTAGCTGGAGCAGGCTCTTGGCAAACGCAAGCGCCGCAGTGGTGCTTCTCATTGAGCCTGACCACCCTGCAGGCGGCTATTCTCTGCCCGATCCATGCTCATCCTTCTCAGGCCCCCGCAGAGCTCCCACCCACCCCCTTCTCTCTGCTCTCTCCTTCTCCTTCTCTCTGTGTCTTTCTACTTCTCCTCTTTCTCTTTCCTCTCGCCCTTCTCTCTGTCCTCTCTTCTTTCTCAGTCTTTCTCACCCTCCCTCTCTCTCTTCCTTCTCTCTCTCTCTCTCCCCTCTCTCTGTCCCCTCCTTCTCTTCTTTCCACTCTCCCTCTCTCCTCTCTCTCTCCCTTCCATTTGTCCCTCCCCCCCTCTCTTTCCCCTCTCCCTCTTTCTCTCCCCTCTCCCTCATCTAAACCCTCTCTTTGCGCTCCATCTTTTCTCACCCTCCCACCCTCTCCCTCTCCCTCTCTCTCACCCCCTGTCTCTCCCCTGGCAGGTGACTGTAGAGCCTCGGTGCACTCACTTAGCTCTGGCAACACGCCCCGCACCGGATGAGCCGAGCCACAGGGGGCACAGGAGTATCCCTCCAGCCCAGCAGGGACACACTGTTTGTTTGTGCACACACAGAGGGTGGAGCACACTGCTACAGATTAGAAACAAATTGAGAGATTTCAAAAAATCAGCAGGATTTCAGGACCTGATTGTAAAACATTACAGTCTTCCTCACCATTAATTGAATATACATCTATTGTAAATAATTAAACTTTAACTTGGCTAATCCTTTATCGTATGAGGTAAGAGTTACTTGTAAATGAATTGAGATAACAAGCAGCAAGAGACACGTTCACTTTCATATTGAGTTATTTGGCAAACTGAACCTCCCATGGAAGAATAAAGGCTATGAGTTTGATGTAGCCAGGAGTGCACTTAGCAGAGACTGAGTTTACACTATGTTGATCCCTCATGACAGAGAGTTTAAAAAAGCAAATAAAAATGTAACTTAATTACAGATTTATAATGAGCCGCTGCACCAGTGCCAAAGACAAGTCCCATCTGAAGACAAACAGGCACCTGCTGAACGCTGGCTGCTCGTGGGCTTTCACAGCTAAATTAATCCAGGCCTTGGGGTATCATGACTCCACTCTGTGTCTCACACAATTAAGTCGTCCCATGAAGCAGAGGGGCAACTTTTTACACCCAAACTGACGTGAGCTAAACTGTGACATAGCTGTGACTTCTCTGTGATAACTTTATACACACAGTATTACAATGGGACCACAAGACTGATAGTGTGTGATGCTAACTGTCAGATAGTAACACTGATTTTTATAAAAGTTTGTGTAACACTGAATGCTTAAATTAATCTGCAGGTGCATAGACCATCTGCCAGTGCTAATACAAGTTCATTAAAATATCTGTCATCATAGTTAAAAAATAAAGCATTTTGAACATTTGAAGAATGTAAAGTGAATATTATTTTAATGTGTATATGTTTATATGAAATACTGAAACACATTAAAAAACAAAATCAAAGGAAAAAAAGAAAATCAGAGGTTTAGTTTGACAATAACTTGCTAAATGCATACAGTCTTACTTGCCCTTTGTCATTTAATTATACAAATATTGCCTGTGTACATAAGTAAAGCCTTACCTTCTTATTGGAGGATGTGCAGTAGTTGGATCCACAGAGGAGTTATCGCCTGCAGCCACAGCTCACTCGTCCTCCATATGATTTCTGTAGATAAACATAAAACAGCTGTTCAGCATCTCATCTACACTGGTTTCTTTGACATCAAGTGGTTCAAGGCCTGGAGCTTTTTAGCAGATTATACCAAAGATGTCACAAATCTAAAACGTTTACAACAAATAAATCATGCAGGGCATCAAAACAACAGTGATCCAGTCAGAATCTAGTCAAGTCAAAATGCTCACAAACAAATATTTAAGATAAATAAAATTTACATTATTAATGATGCCACAACTGCCCTGACAGACTGAAGCATGGGTGGCAATCTGTGCCAACAACCCTCCAACAACCACCTTCGACTTATACCTCACATTCAAAAGCAAGGTGGGTGATGTGTCTTGAATAAATACATTTTTCCCTTCAAAGGGTTCATCACAAATAATCTACATCAGATGCCCTTCCTAGGATAACTCTGTGGAAGTACAAAGATAATTCTTTGTAACTAGAAGTAAACTCAATAACACAGCATTGTAATTTCATATATAAAAAACGTATATGCATTAGGCATTTCAACAGCGTCCTACAGCAGATTTATGTAAAAGGTTAAAGTCTGAACCAATAATCTCTACAACATGGAATCTTAGGATGATTGCTTGGAGGTAATGCCCTTTATGTTGTTGAATACACTAAACTAAATATGTTTTCATTACAGCTCTGTGCGTATGCTTCTGTATGCGTGCTTCGGAGGCTGTCTCTAAAGAGCACTTTTTGGTGTAAAAGGATCGGGGCCTTGCGTAGGTCAAACTTAAAAACCACATATGTCACCGAACCAATTTCACCTTCTCTCATTTAACAAACTAATGCACAGTTCAGACTGCAAATGGGACTTTACATTATGAAAACAAATAACTGTCTGCTATACAAAGCTAAACTGATTTTTTAGCCAAGTTTGGAGGAAAAATATATCTGAAATAATTGGTGGTAAAATGAACAAGGACAAAAGTATGAAATTCTCTTGACTGCTAATTAGCTGTGAACGAGGCTGATAACCAAAAGAGAAAACGTATTAAATGCAATAATTATTACTATTGCTAATTACACTTCCAATTATGTCACTAATGAGAAGGGTTTAATTATCAGAACAATGGATAAATAAGAGTTTAGCGTTAGCCTGTTTGTGATGGTGCGGGCGATGGTGCTTGGACCACAGACAACAAATCACAAGTTAACACGACTTCTTCAGCTGACGTATGATCAGGAAATGCACATTCAAACCGATTTAATTTGGTCATTCATTTTGTTTTAATATTTACATCTAGACAAGTATTACCCAGGATGCAAAGTGAGCACTGATGGCCTTGTTGGATGTGAGAACAACTTAACACGTCCCCTTGTTGTACTATCGGTTGTGTATTCAAACTGTTATTGCCAGGTAACAGGCTAACCTTGGACTGGTGGCAATGTTTTCAGAAAAATAATTTGTTCAGTTTGATTGAAAAATAACCACACACATTTTTATCTTATGTGATGTTAAGAGTCCGTCCATGAACAATTCCAGTTGCAATATGTGGGATATCAAAATTGATAATATTGTTCAGTAATTAAAAATTAATAAAATGTATTAATTATTCTGTCTTAAAAACATGAAAAAATAGAATACATACATTTTAAAAGATTTGCGGTGGTCTCAACTTATTCCACCCTTATCTGTATTCTGAACATCCTGATTATTCACTGCAATAAGCAGTCCTCCAAAACTCTTTATATTTTAGGTGCAAGCAATACACAGTAAACTTATTTTTTAAGTTGCTGCTTATACTATTATTTATCTGTACTGGGACAAGACAAATGTTGCTCAAATACATGAAAAAAAAATCTGGTACAGGCCCTTTATGTTATGGAGACTTCCCGGATAGGAAACTCAGAAACAACACTGCTGACATGCTTAAATTTACACATAAAATCCGTCATTCCTCACATGGATGAATGCTAGGAATGGGTACCAAAAGCTGATATCATAACAGCATCAGTGCCACATCTTGATGGTCGACTGGATCAATAAGCAAATGTTACATGGTTTAATACAATCACAAACCGTCTATCCTCTCAGTTACGTCTCATGCATGCAACCTGTAGGCCCTGCTTTGATTATCCAGTGCACAGTAACAGCTCATTTCCGCGTCTGCAGCTCTCTGTATGTGTGTGTGGCGCCCGGCCACACTGACACACGCACACAAAGAACACAGGAAAATATCTGACACCACGCAACAGGTCATCAAAGCAGGATCCACACGTGCACAGTGCATAACTCATTTGAGGAGAAAAGGTTCATGTTGGCCCCTTTCCATCTATCACAGTTAAGTCAAACTCACTCAAGTCTTTGCCCATATTTTCATCTTTATTTTTTGTTAAATGTCCTAGTATGAAAGTGGTGTGCGCGTGAGTGATGGTGGTGGTCGGAGGGGCTGATGGTTGTAGCTGCAATAGTACCTTACCATCACCGGGTATGGACTGAATGAATAATGATCTGTAAAGCGTCTTTGCAACATATGTCTGTAAAAAGTGCTATATAAATAAAACGTATTTATTTACACACAACTGACTCTTTTGAGCTTTTAGCCATGTTAGAATGTTGTTAACTCATCAAAAACATTTGAGTAACCCTTTATTATTATTCTGTCTACATCTTAAAAGCTCAAAATGCTCTGATCCACCCTGTGATGTCACGAAAAGGTAGTTTTCCAGTTAACGGCTACTTTTTACCTTTTGTTTAGAAGAACTGGACAATTCTAGGTCTGAATTGATTGAAACAAATTATTCTAGTGAAGGTGTATGGAGTCTAAAAACGCAGTGGAGCACTTCCTGTATTACCACATGACATCACAAGGTGGAACAGTTTTCAGTTTGAGCAAAAAACTCAGCCTAAGAATGCACGGTGTATGTGTTAAATGTGAGAATGAAACAAAACATGACTCCAGGTATGTTTCTGATGAGGAAACATTATAGCATAAATCATAGTGTAATACGGGCCCTTAAACTATGGCAGTGTTATGACTGATTGATCTACAGCCACTCTGGCCAAATCTAACCATGTGTTATTTAATAGAATCCACAATCCACCTAAGTATCCATCTCCCTCTCACCTTTTCCAAAAGTCAGACTCAAATCCAAGTGTCTCTGTGAGTTCTACTGGGGTTTCTCACTCTCCTAACTCTACCTCTGTGCTCTACCTTTAGCGGATGTGGTGGATGTGACTGCCAACTCAAAGCGCTCTGGATTACGGTCATATCTTCCACATGGCTGCCTCCTAATCCCACCATCTGAGGTAAACACAGGAGCAGGTGAAGCAACACTCCTGTCTGAGGCACCTCCGCGTCTCACAGGGATCTCCCACTCCATACGCCCACGGGACCAGTCCGATTCACAAACTTTCCTTCCTGGCATCCTGGAATAAGCTCAATACAAACGTGTTTTTACAATCCATGACTAATTCAGTGTTATGACTGCCAGGTGATTCCACTTCTTCTGGTTAATTTTGCATGGAAAACTATTTGCACTGAGGATAGCTTTGAATATACAAGAATTACAGAGAAAGATGAAGATGTGTGAGATATACTTAAAAACAAAACACAGCAAAACATAGGAAATTCAAAGTCAAACACTGCTGGTATTGCAGCACTGTGCTTCTCTCATATCTAGTGTTTGTTTTATTCTCAAATAAGCATAGATAAAGCAAATAAGTAAATACATAATTTCTCCCTTATTCCTTATTCCTTATTTCACTTCCATTAAGTGTTTCATGTGACTGGTGCCTATTCAACTACTTTGGCTTAGTTTGCTGATACAAAACATAAAAGCACACAGAAGACATAGATCCTATCCCAGGGTCTGAAAAACAAATCTTTTCTGAAAACATGCCAAGGTCAATGTCAAAGTACATTTAGTAAGAGTACAGAGAATGTTTATATTTTCATTACAATATAGTGAAATGGATTCAGTTGTGTGAATGTATTACCAATGTTTTATGGACCCAAAAACACACTGCTTACATTATTCATACCCAAAATTCGTTCCATGATCCTGGTAACTTTTGTGGTGTGTCAAGGTGAAACTTTTATCACATAAAAAAAAAATAATAATATACAATATACAATATATATATATATATATATATATATATATATATATATATATATATATATATATATATATATATATATATATATATATATATATATATATATACATATAAAAAGTTGTGAGAGTGTTTGAGAAGGCTTTGTTTGAAATTGTAGCTTTTCTAATATAGATATTTCTTATGAACCTTCATTTTGAGAGAGGTGCCGGCACATCTGCTTTATACTGTGTTTTATGTGTTCGCAATAAGGTGATACCTGTGTGTAAGTCTTGTGTCACTGCCAAGGAATGCTGCCAACTTCTCATCTGCCCTTCTTTCATCACAGCACCACAAAAAGGCAGAAAAGCTAACAAAAACAAAGTCATAAAAGAACATTCACTTCATGTTTTTGAGATGGGAGATACTCTGAGAAATGCCTCTATGATTACATAAAAACAGGTTTTGATATGTTTCAGCCTGACTGTTTTTCAACACATTTTTTGTATGTGACCTCATCAGGGGTTGAAAAACACTGCACACGCCCAAAGGAACAGGTACTTGAGGTAAAACACCACAAAAAGAGATTTCACAAGTCAGTAAGGAATGTGCTCTTTGCAATGAGTGCATCAAGCTCCCCTGCATCACCTCTTGTTCAGTGTTTTGCAGTATTGTTTTTCAGTCAGAATAAATAAAAATTATGTTTCTTTAAGAATGCATTTTTGTGAATACATGTGAGTTGTAGTAATTTGTGAAGTATTTCACAACCTATAATATAAACCATGTTTTTTTGTTTGGTTTTTTTTGTTTTGTTTTTTTTATTTGGTAACTTCAAACAACCCATTTCAATCAACTCATTTCATAACTACAGTTCATCTGTTGGTTGGACCCTCACAACACACATCACATTTTTCTATTCTGCACCATTTTTTAC